GAAATATTTTTGGAAAAAGACCTAGAAATAGTTATTAGAGTTTTGTCCATAATTCGAAGCTGCAAAAAGTTTGCCAAACATTTTTGCAAAGCGCTTAAGGAGGCGAGTGTTCCAATAAAATTTATCTTATAATTTTTCACAGAAAATATCTGAAGATTGTCAGTATTTTATGTAAAACTAACAAATAATGCGATTTTTGCGTCGAAAGAATTTCTTAATAGAAACTTTGCTAAAACTGGAAAATTTAAACGAACTTTAGAAATCCTTAGAGCGATGGCGGCGACGAATTTTCCCAATATTTTTTTGTTAATTTTCCTTCGGTGAAAAACAAAAGTAAAATTATTTTGTTTTTGTTCCAAATTCGAATCTGAAATTCTTCGAAAGTTTTTTTGACTGAAAACACCCCATTATTGTCAAAAAAGCAGAAAATCATCAAAAGATAATGGTTTTTTGCTTTGTGGATTAAAAACTTTCAGTTTTGTGATCGGTTTTGGAGAAAACATTGATGGTTTTCGGAAAGAAAACGGTGGGAATTTATTTTTAATTAAGCTTAAGGAAGCTATAAATTAATCTTTTTTTAAATTTTTTGCGTAAAAGTCCTCAAAATCGTTAGTAGTTTTAAGTAAAACTCTACAAAATAGTGCGTTTTTGAGTAGAAAGTAAAGCAGAAAAAATCAGTCAAAACTAAAAAAACACATTTTTTAACAAATTCTACAGTTTTCAGAAGAATGGAGGTGACCAGATTTTCAAATAATCTGTTATAAACTCGCTTATTCTGTTAATTTTTTGATAGAAAATTATTTGATTTTTGTTCCAAATTCGACGCGGGAAAGGGATTAAATAACTTTTTACAAAGCAACGAAGAATTCGAAATTGATCTCATATTTTTTCGCAGAAAATGTCTTAAGATTGTCAGTACAATTCATCAATTCTATTTTTATTTTAAAAGCTGGTCACGATCACTTCATATACCTATTGTTTTATCAATAGGAAGAAGTTTCGCTTTACTTCCTTACTACCTAATTTCTTCGAAGCGAATCACATGCGACTATTAAATAGCAAAATAATTACCTTGATATATGAATAACTATAGTTTATGATTGCGGATCAATTGTATTCTAATGTAAATAAACTTTATAATATTTATTTTCAACCGATTTCCTACTTGCGAATGTGGTTTTAATCAGTCACTAAAATATAGGTCTCAAAATAGAAACAAAACATTATTTTAATTGGTAAACATTTGTTCTTTAGTGGTTCTATTTTGTCCTTTCTCATTAAGTCAGTTGAAGGAATTTTATTTGCACAAGTAATACTAATGAAGAATTATAATAACTTAGACTCGTTTTATTCATAAGGGACTATTGGTACTTCATACATAAACAATACAACAGCAATCGCAATAAAATGGCTTTATTTTAACACATTTCTTATTATTAACATTTCTCTAACTGGGTTTATAAACATTTATGTTAACTTTTAAAATTTCCAAATGTTTTAAGCTTGCTTCTACGATCGAATGTTTGAAGGTGAAAATTTTGCAAATGGTTCCATGTTTAACAAAATACTCCAACTTCGCAGAACTATCCACAGCGTGTCGCAATTTCTCAATTTTTTAAGCAAGATACATTACCTGGCTGATTAATTTTTGCTAAACCGTGTGCAACTTTGCTCTGTTGCTTCCGGTCTTTGAGTCAACAATTTCTCTGTTGCGCTGTCGAAATTCACTTTCGATGCGCTTAAAGTTCGTCAAAAAACTGTTTGCCACGGTTTAAAAGTTACTGGAAATAATTGACACAACATCTAATCTGATAAGAAGCGACTCAAGTGATTATTGTTATGTGTTGTTTAGCCACGCATAGCACAAGTTCTTTTTATCAACCTTCCGGGTTTTCGGTATTTGCTAATTTCGGTACAAAAKAAATATACCCGCTGTTAAATGCTGACTATTCAAACTTTAATYTTAGCAGATTCTCGATAATGCCTGAAAYATTTTCTCTAGAAAATCGTTAAATAGCCTTAAAGGKCACTGGAAGAATTTCTAGKCGTAAAACTCCAATCGATTTATTACAAATCATTTCCAATTTTCGATTTTGAAACAAGTTTTGTAATGCACATTTAAATATCCACGAATGTCTTCTGCTAAAATTGCATTTAATGATATTTGCAACGAATCAGGATCAGTTCAGATATAACATTTCTTGCCACTTTTTCAATTTCTTCATTAAGTGGCCATGAATTTTTTAATTCATTTTTTAAACAATATGTTTTTATAATACGCTCTGTTAAAACTTTATTCAGACAAGAGATAAATGAGAGCTTTGTTTATATATATCAAACTTGTCTCTATCAGATATTAGGTCTTATAGAATCAAGTATAGTAAAACACTGTAAAATTAATTCTTAGAAACAGTAAAAATACGCAAGGTTTTATACGCAAGGTGAGACTTGGATTTATCTAATTTTAAATCTAGTCCAAACAACTGGCCGTTATTCTGTTAAATTGATATGTGGGACGGTTTTAATCTACATAGAATTCTTTGTTGTTAGCACCGATTCAATTGGCCGATGTCAGAGGCTCTTACCTATAAATGTTGCTCTATTGCTAATTATTGCTTTATGTCATTTTATTTAGGAAGTGGATAAATTCTGAGTGCTTCACGCGATTTGGTTTCTATTTGAAGCCCTATTTGTTATTTGTTCGTCAATCTTTTAGCAAAAATTAAGCACCACAAATAATTTTTCTACAGGGTGGTAAATAAAGAAACGCAAAATATCAGAAAGTTTGAGTTCAACATGCTTCTGGTTGGACCAGAATAAAGTTTTTATGATCTCAACACCAAAAGTTTAAAAAACACTTAAAAAAAAACACACGTTTTACTTTTTTGGCCATATCTTCTATTGATAGAATAGTTTTACAAAATCACTTTTTGGTCTTGCAGCAATAACTTTCTGCTTTTATACCGATTCTAACCGTCTAAAGCTCATGTTGAAGCTAAACTTCATGGGCAACTTAAGACAAAAACTCAATAAAGTGCAACAATTTTATTTAAAAAAGACCCACAGCCGAAGTGGCCCTGAAATAATTTTTAACTAAAGTGAAGTCACTTTCAAATATTTCGTGCGTTCATTTATGCAACCCAGTATATTGATTTTTTTTCTCAAGTCGACCGCGATGTTTCAGCTTTAACATGAGTGTTAGATTTTAGTAATCGGTTGACAAGAAAAAAATTATCACTGCAAGACCGAAAAGTTGACTTTTTTAAGACCACACCCACATGAGATGAGCAAAAAGTTTATCTGTGATAGGTGCCTGTGGTGTTGAGGTACAAAGAAAAACGTTGTTTTGTCCAATTGAGAGCATGTGGAACTTTCATCAATTTTGCATTGTTTCATTTGCCACCCTGTAGAAATTATGATTTTTTGCAAAAACATGCACATGCCGAAAAAGAATTGCAATTCATAACGCTTCAAATCGCTTTCAGCAATTAGAATTTATCCAGTTCGAAAATTAGCTGAAATTTTAACCGTCTATTTTGATGAGCAACTTGTATGTAAAAATATTATGCTTGTTTTTCGTTAAAATATTTAGTACCTGGTTTTATTTAAATTTTTCTATAGCATCTTCTGATGTTTTTTGTCTGTTCAAAATCAAGTGTTTCGACTGTGGGTATTTTAATCGCATCTTTAGAAAATATTACAAATATGGTGAAAAACTGATGTTTTAAGTATGAAATTTAATTTTACAAAAGATTGATAAATTCGTTTTTTAACAAACGTTTTTCTCAAATCTTTCTTTTCCTGTTTAATCAACGTGTCTATAAGAAACTGATATTTTTTTAATTAGTTAACTTAATCTGTGTTTTTTAAACCAAATTATCAATAAGCTATAATCTATCTCAGCTGTTGTGTGTTATAACCATTATTTTCGGTTTTACTTTAGGTCGCTGATCTATAGAAAATATATGCTTCAAGGAATTTTTTCTATGAAAATAATCAATTAGCACCACATTAGTTCAGAGGTTTGAGTTCTGATAATTATAACCTCCCCATGCTAAATTGCTGTGTCGAATGTTTGCTCCACTGTTTATAATCAATGACTTGAATGAAAAAGAAGCAAGAAGAGAACCGATCAACATTTTTCGGTCCCGATACCGTTTCGAATAGACTGGTATGCATCTAAAACAAAAACGCTCCAACTAACCAACAGTGGTACCTGCGGTACCGCATCAGCGAATAGAATAGTACCGCCGATATGCGCTAGTCTGCATGGTTCATCAGCTATAAATAATTTATTAGGTTCCATCGTACCAAAGGTAAAATCGCTTTCTGCTCTAGCCCAGAACGTTCACCTTTAGCCGTTGTAAATATACCTATGTATATTTATTATATAAAGGCTTTGGGGAAATGCGCGAGTTGTCGATTGGTGAAAAGAGGCTGCCCCGAGTACCATTCCTGTTCACTGTAAATTATTTTTTATTTTGTTTCATTTGAACATTTGTTTGCACAAATGGCAGATGTTACATGCTTATGTGAAATGGCCACCATTTGCACTGCATAAGAAATTTAAGCCGGATGGTCGTAGGGGTGTTAACGCTGTAACACATCATGAAGAGGAAAGACAAACAAAACATTATTTACAGACATGATTAAAATAAAAGTAATGAAAATTGTCTATTTAACTTGTTTGTTAAGTGCAACCAAACTAAAGTTGGGTTATTTGAGATATTGTTTCCAATTACATTTGTTATTTATCAAAGCATACGAAAATTGCTGATATCGAATTATTTAAAACGCAAAACGTCGGCCTTACAACACTCCTACACATATACAATTAAGTAACAACTTATATGGCGTCAAGTGTTACTTAATTTTATTTTTTGTATAGTGTCTTACCAAAATTATATGGTTTTTTTTTAAAACGGGCCTTTGAAATATACAAGAAAAGCTTGTTCCACTTCAACTGTTAATAATAATAAAGGAACAACTAATACACACAATTATTATAAGTATTTTTTATTAAACTATTTTCACAAGATCACTTCAAACTGACCAGCTGACTTCTTCCGATCTAGGTAGATTAGATCTCGAGCACGATTCTTCTATCTGTCTTCCTTGAAGCTCTTCTTGCGATGTTGTAACAATGATGGACAACTGACTTAAGTTGGCATGGCCTTTTGACTTTTAATTCAGAGTTCATATTCTCGTTTGGTATTTGTTTCAGCTGATTTAAATGCAGCTTGAGTTTCGGTAGATAGTTGGATGTTGTCTATGTCTGTTAATTAACTGCATTTGACTAAAAAATTAAAAACGTTTGAACAAATTGAGCTAACAATGTGATGTGAATGCAACTGCAAATTTATCAAACGATCCAACAATGTTGAAAAAAAAACAAAGAGGTATATAAAATAGGATATGAGTGAAAAGAATGCGTCTGAACAAATTCCATGCAAATTTTAAAGTACCTAGACGCTAATTAAAAACAATAATTTTTAACATTAAAAATCTTTTCAGAAGCTTTATTGAATCTAACGTGTAGTCTTTCTTTTAACTTTTCTTTATTTTTATTCCGGTATTTAAAATAATTTTATGTCGTAAGTCACTACTAATTACAATCGATTTCTTTAATTCTAATCGGTATTAACGATAATGTAGTTGGAGTAATCACTAAAATAACAAGTTTTTTTATTGAACGTATTTAAACAGTTATCAAGTATATAAAACATATAATTTGATTGTAAGGCGTTGTGGATCTGCAAAAGCCAAATTTTCAAACCCGTGCAAAGTAAAGTTAAGCCCATCATAAGATGTAAAATGCCTACTAAAGATCTATAAAACTTAAGCGAAAAAGGGTGTCGATAACTTGTGAAATATAACATATTATAAAACATTTTAAATAACAGATTACAGTTGCTTTGTTTATAGTTATAATTGAATGACGTAGTTGGTATTTTTAGTATAACAAATAAGTGCGACAAGTTAAAAACTCATCTTAACTGAAATATCTGAATAAAATATATTGTTTCTTTTATGGACGGATTTTTGAAACGTGTTACTTTTCAAGCAAATTTTTGTGCTTTGCTGTTTTGTCTATTGAGAAACTCTTTTTATAATCTATTTATTTAAAAGTCTTTTTAAAATCTATCCCAAATCAATGCAAGAGTTAGAGCAAAATTAATTAATATAAAGATAATGTCAGATTTAGCAAGCAATAGTTCGAGACTTTGTAGTTTTCGTTAAAGTGTTTACGAATAAAATCAGTAAATATTGTCGATAATTTAATGTGATACCTCTAAAAAATTCGAAAAACTTTTGTGCACAGCATTTTTCAAATTTACTTGAATCTTTAAAGTAATTTACAAGGCATGTATGTATTTGCATATATTCGAACTGTCTTTTTTTCGATCACTTTCCCATTTTTTTTTGCTGGTACATGAAACCTAGGCAGTGTACCTACTTAGTTTAATAGATTTTTAATGTTTAAGTCATTTAAATGTTGCGGCATCGAAAATGTATGTTTTCCTCTAGGACAAGCCCAGTGAGGTCAAATCTGGTAGGCGAGCAACCTAATTGATGGCTGCTAAATTTATTCTAATGAAGCCGCAGTAAAAAATCTAAACTTTCAGTCTCAAAGGAACTTCGACTTTTCCTTCCATACTATAAATATTTACCATACTATCAAAATTTACAGTGAGTGTTAGATTGCTAATTGTGTCGAATTTAAAGAGGTTTTTAAGCCTCAAAAGACATACAGCAGTTTTACCTGAACAAATCACAGGATATACTCAAAACATTTGTTCAGTTATCACATCATATTATCTTTCATTGCACTCGGGAACTTTTGTATTGAATATGCGCTGAAAATAAAGTTTCTTATTAATCTGTATTTGGAGTGTCTGATTCTCATAAAATCAAACTGAATTCTTGATTGCATTGAAAATAAAAAATTATATTCTAGATCTTCACATTAAAGTTCTTGACATTAAATCTAATTTGCTCTTGTATACTTTGAATTTGTTTGTCTTCAATTGGAACACCGACATTCAATGAGTATTGCATTGATTAACAATTTTTCTGGGCCTGGGTAACTCAGTGAATTTTTAGTTGGCGCTCAGTTCCGCTGCTGGGAAAATGTTGACGACTTTTTTTACTTGTTTTAGATTTATTTTAAAGGCCATTTAGAATTTTTCAGTTTTGGAAATTTACTTTTTCTTCTAAATGCTCAATTTTCTAGTTTCACTTAAAAATGCTGACAATCTAAAGGTATTTTCCGCGAAAAATCGTCGCTTTGTAAAAAGTTTTGAAATCCCTTTCCAGCTTCGAGTTTGGAACAAAAATTATACAATTTTCTATCGATAAACGAACAAAAGTTTATAACAGATTATTTGGAAATCTAGTCACCTCCAGTGCTCTGAAAACTGTAGAATTTGTAAAAAAATGTGGTTTTTTAGTTTTGACTGAACTTTTTTTGCTTTATTTCCTACTTAAAAACGACCTATTTTGTAGAAATTCACTTAAAAATACTGACGATCTGGAAGACTGTTACGCGAAAAATTACGAAAAAAATGTATAGCATTGTAAAAATGTTATAAAACTTTCTTCAGTGTCGAATTTGGGGCAAAAACAAAACGACATTCTCCCCGATTTTCCCCGAAAATCATTAATGTTTTCTCCAAAACCAATGACACAACTGAAGGTTTTTAATCGAAAACGCAAAAAAGGCTTATTTTCTGATGATTCCCGTCTTTTCAGCCAAAAATTACAAAATTCGCCTCGATCATCGGTTTGCAGGGAACTTTAGAAAACCCATATCAGCTTCGAATTTGGCACAAAAAGCAAATAATTTAATTCCGTTTTTTACCGAAAGTAATTAGCATTATCTTGAAAAAACGACCATAGCAAAAGTTTACAAAAAAATATTTGAGAAATTCACCGCCCTCATCGCTCTGAAGAATTTTAAAGCTCCTTTAAATTTTCAGGTCATTCCAGTTTTAAGAAAGTTTCTATTAAGCAATTCTTTGTACGCAAAAAGCGCATTATTTGTTAGTTTTGCTTAAAATGCTGACAATTTTTAGATATTTTCTGTGAAAAATTACAAGATACATTTTATTGGCTGTCAACACTCGTCTACTCAACCGCTTTGCAAAAATTTTTTAGAAAGCTCGATTTACGGTTACGGTTTACGGAAGTTATGGACAAAACCGTAATAATTATTTTTGGGTGTTTTTCCAAAAATATTTCACCGAACTGAAAACACGAAAGTTTATAATCATTTATTTGGGAAACTCTTGGAAACTGGAGTTTCTTCAATTTTAGGTCAATATTTCTAAACAACACTGTCTCTAAACAGAAAAACCGTGTGTTTCCTAACGTTTTACTGTAAAATATTGGCAAACTGAATCTTTTTTGTAAAAAAATGAAGATTTCGATTTTACAAGAAAACTCGTCGACTTTCTTTTGTTCTGTTGCAGGGAAAATCTACATGACTTTTTTTAGTTGTTTAAACAAAGTAGTTAAATGTTACTTAGAAAAAATGTTGATGACTTTTTTTTTAAGTTGTGAAAATTCCAGTCTCGGGTCTCGTCAAGTTTTAATAAATGAATTATAACTCATTAACCGATGAATTATAACTCAGAGAGCGGCAACAACTCAATAGCGCAACTCTACATAGTGTTACCCAGGCCTAAATTTTTCTTTAACTTTTCTCATGTTAATTTTTTCCTAATTTTGCCACTTTAGGACATGTTTCACTTCTCCTTATTCCTGGCGACTTTGCAAAATCGGACAGAACTAATTTCGATGCACAATCCTGAACTTTCTAGCAACATCTTCCATGTAAATTCACAACTATTTATGTATCCCTCTATACTGATTTATTAGGTTGTCCCAGCTAAAGATATGATCTTTTCTGCGATGGCTCGATAGAAACGATACAACGATAGGCAGTAGGATTTAACTACTTCCTTTTAGCTTGTGAATAAAATTTGAATAATTTCCGAGGAAAATTATTTATCTACTTATTTAGATTAAGTGGGCATGTGTGAAATCGAGAAACTAGTTTCTTGACTAGCGTATCAGACATAGCATGGTGGCAGGTTTTCCGAAAACGATACTTAGTGTTGACATAGTCTTATTGTTCCTAGAGGAAGCGACTGTTTCGTCATGATTAACAAAATGTGTTTAGAAATACGGTAATGATTCCATCCGCAAATTTTCTGCTGTTAAATTTTTAGGGTTGATCGTCAATTAGTTTAAAAAATTCGTCTAGACATTGTCACAACTTTGTATATTGCGCTGTTAATTTTTTCGTTGTAATTTAAATAATTATAGTACATAGCATTTTGAGCAACAATTGCTGTCATTTCAACTTCAAAATAAATATTTAAATTTAAAAGAAAAGAGAAATTATTACTAAGCAAGAAAAAACTGAGTGCTAAAATGCATCATATTAAATGTGAACTTAATAACTGAAGCATGAATGATATTCCCTGTATTATAGAGGGAAGCGAGTGAAAGTAATAAAAAAGTTGATATCCCGTCTGCCGTCCTTAAAGATTTCGTTAACACTCACAATCGTTAGCCGTTCGTATTATTTGGATTTGCTGTATTATATATTTTTTTAATTATTAAATTATCGGTACGATATATTTGTTCATTCATGAATTTGGAATTATGAATCTTTGAATTGATGTTAATTTATTGATTAATTTAATGCAGTCGCATTTCTTCAAGTTTTCCGAAGTACAAATTTGGCATCCACAATTAATTACCCGCACATATAAGCAAAAGTAGAACATTTTAATAAATTATTTGTGTTACCGTTGATTTTCCCGACTGGTTTTTAATGAATCTTTGAAGGTATTATTGTTTGCCGGAATCAGGCAGATACGCCACTGACAAAAGTGACTAGGAAATAGCTGAAGAACCGAGTTAAACTGAAGCAAAGAGATCGTAAAGTCATTATTCTTCAAAAAAACTCTTCACGAATTCTGTTAGTAATTTGGTTCGGCGTGCGTTTTTTTCTTTTTTATCGCTTCTTGACGAGAAATTGATTTCACGTAGATTGTTGTGACTTTTTGATCGTTTTATACATTAAAGCTATAAAATAGGATCGCTCTACGAAGCACGATGGCGGTTTTTTTAAAGAAATTCTTCGTTATTCTAGATTAGCGGAAATGGTATTGAAACGAAATTTATCTGCGTTATTTTATTGGTGCTATTCATAAAAATAGAACCGTTAGTTTAGGCGTTTCTTATTGTCCACGAAGGCAATTTTCAGTAAACTTGAAAGAAAGT